CTGTCAACGCTCTCTGGTTTCATTTAAAAGAGTCGATCATCAGATATTGTCCAAGATTAACCTTCAGGGTGGATATAGCTCGCTAGCAGCCTCGCACCAATGACCTCGTCAACATCATCATTTACCCAGAATGCTTTGTGTGTAAATAAAATGGCTCCATCCGTGTAAAATATATATATTTTAAAAAATTTACTAAACTAAATACAGTATTTTTACAGTCTTTATTTTACAGTTAAAATATATGTTTATCACATAAAGTCTAATGTTACAACTAATCAGGGATCCTTTTATATACGGCTTTAATGGTGCGACTTCCTAATCAGATTGCTGCTTTCTGAAAACAACTCAACAATTTTTTAAAACATTAATACTAACATCAGGTTCCTATTACTGGTTTATTTTGGTAGAAATGTCATGATATCCCTGTTAGAAGTGACTCCCGGAGACTCCAAAGGTGCACTTGTAAATAACCAAAGCTATCCATGTCAGTAACTGTGGATGGGAAACTAAACAGTGTGACGGTACAGCACGTCATGTCTCAACAGGCAGCTCCTAAACAGGAAGTCATTTCAAAATGATGTAACGATGCCTTTAAGCCCACAGCAGCACATCTACCTTTTCCGGCTCAGTACCAATGTTGACCAAAGCTGATTTGGAAAGTGCAGAGGTCAACAGTTTATCGTGTTACACTTTAGTTTCATCAGGGTCCTGAACGGTTGCGTGGTTGTGTAAGGAAAGAAAGAAGCAGGCCGTCGGTTTCTCGTATGCTTATTTCTAAATTGTCATGTTAGTGTGAGTTTGGGCCATTAAAACAGCATGTCTGGCATTCGCCACGAGCTTTGACAAAGATCCCATTTCTTTTCTGGACCCCTTTGAAGCTGTAATCAAAACCAGACTGTCTGTGATTTTGAGCGTCCAAGTGCGCAGGTGTATCCGGGAGGGGTCGGGGGACCACACACCCAGTAAACCGCCCGCCTGGTCACGGTGACCTAAGAGCGGGGAGCTGCTTCCCTCCCCCTCACTATCATTAGCCCCGGCCGCACTTCCACGCTGCTGCTGGCGACGACCTTGGACAAACACGGCCATCTGAATCCAGTTAAAGTTTGCTGCTCTGTGGGTTCGCGTGCAAGCCCGCCCCCCCCCCGACCAAGAGACAAGCCAAGTAGGAAAGTTTAACTCTTGTGTGGTCACTTCAGCTTTGAAGCACCGCCATCCTTAGGAAGGAAAAAATGACCAAATCAGTGAAACTGATGGTAGCGGGTGGGTCTGTGGCTGTAGCAGGCGTAATGGACGTTAAATTATAGCTCCCCAGTTCGGTTTAAACGTTGGAGTGGTGGGGAGATCAGGCCAACTGCAGCAGTGATTTTGTACCTCTATCGCTGTTTTATCGAAAATAATCGGGATAGTTCATGTAAACATAAGGCATGTAACTATTCTCAGGTAACTGGGATCAACACCTTCTAGGAACTGTTTCTTTTTACTGTTGCTAAACTGTGAAAACTTGCTGGTTATCATTCGGTGAGTGTTGACGGTGTAAACAGCTCCCCATGGGACAGTTGGCTCACTTTGGGCTTTGTTCGATTGCGCAGCTGTGGGGTTGCAGTAACGTTCCTGTGCAATCCCAGTTTTATCCGTCTAATATTTCACCAAACTGCAAGCTGGACTTTTTTTTCCTTAAAGGAAAACGTCATGTGTGATTTCCCACAACAGCGTGGCTTTTTGCCAAACTTGTTTTTCGGGACTTTTTCTACTGTAACTGAGCTCAGGTACGTGCCCGAGGCAGTGCGAAGAAGCAATATGCAAATGACTTCAATGAATAACTTTTGAAGTTAGGAGGAAGAAGGTGGGGACACATGCTCGGGCCTGTCGGAGGGAGGAGCTCTGAGCCACTCTGGTGATTCAGTTAATCACATATAGTTCTTGTCCGACAGCACATCAGAAAGGAGAACAGAGAGAGAGGAAGCAGGCAGACTGAACGCTCGTTGCTTGGACCCATACAGTATTTGTAATGTGTGTTGGATCGAGTTTTTGCCGAGTGACAATGGGACTATGTTGCTCTGAAAAGCAGAAGAAAAACTTTGAGATTCTTGCGAGTTGGAAAAAGGTGAGTTACACTGGTGTAAATGTGTTTAAAGAATGAAAGACTGGTTTTGAGTTTGTTATATTTTCTGTTAAAAACATGATTTCCTGTCAACATGTTGGCGTTATTAGAGAATTGTCTCTCTTATAGTGAACTAAAGTGGTTTGTATTTTAAGTATCAGTGGATAAAATGTTTCTTTAGTGTCGCTTTAGTTATTTTCATTGACACTGTCTTCTTTATTGACTCATTTTTTCATAATAAAATTAATTCAAACGTTGTCAGCACAGGTTAGTTCTTTATTGTGCAGGTTCTCAAAATGGGGTCCCATTGGTCCTTGAGCAGTGGCTTAGGGGGTCCTCAAAAAATAACAATAATGTAGTTGGTTTTGGTTATTTTTCCAAAATGCATTAATGCATATGTGGAACAATGTACAAGTAAACCAAACATGTTATTCTCATGGCTTTAAGGGATTAAAACGGCAGTAAATTATTTTAAAATCAGCATGAGGTTTATGAGGCTGTATTGAAACCATTTTAGAGATTTTTGCTACTTTCTTTCTTTTTTTATCAGTTGCATAAGAGAGTTGCCCATGTAGGTACTTTTTCCTGACATAAGAGGATGTATGAGTTCATGTCTTACATTAGACAACGTTCCCTCTCCCCACAGACGTAGTTGCGTGTGAACTACATGACCCTGGTTTAGCACTGTTCAGCTGGGTTTTAACCGTCTCCCTTACAGTTGGCTCTAACGGCACCATTCATCTAACTTATTAAAGAGTCAATGACAAGTTTCCTTTGAACGGAGCACAGCTGACTCACTCCCAGCACTTCTTTTTGTCACGATCTTCTCAGTGATTTTCACAGGCAGCCTCCGGCAGTCTGTTTATGCACTCTTGGTCTGTCAAGTAGATACTTGCTGTTTGCCTGACAGCTGGATAGACCAGATAGTCTGATTTATTATGAAGGGAAAATAAGAAAAGTCTGAAATTTAGTTTTCTTTCACAGGAAACAGCAACGATTGCAGAGCTTTATTATTATTACAAAGCTGTGGAGGCTTGGCTGTGGTTTTATCTGCGTCTCTGAATGTGGCATGAATCTGTGTTTAGAGGGGAGACCACCTTGGATATGATGTGGGGGGCCATGTGACTCTGTTGCTATGGCGCTCAGGCAGCCGTGCGGATGGCGGGCTGCAGACAGCCGTCTGCCCTCAGTGCAGACGGCTGCAGTTGTCTCAGACGTAACGAGGACGTGTGTTTGATCTGCAGTTCAAAAATCAGAGCGAGCAAAAGAGAATGGATCTCGATGCTTTCACCTCCTTCATCCTTCGCGATGAGAGCGCTCCGATAGCTTTGAAGCCTCACGTTGTGCAGAATGTGTTGCATCTGGTCTGCATTACAGGGGGGGGGGGTGCTGTAGGGGGATTCTCCCAGCTCTGATGCTCTGCAGCGCCGTGTAGGGCTCAGAGGGTGGGAGGCAAAGATAGACTCCAACACTGAAGCCTGAGTACCCTCCTCATCCTCCTCCTCCTCCTCATCATCATCATCTTCTTCTTCTTCGCTGCCGTTCGCTTTTCCTCTTTTCCTTTTCTCCCTCGATCATGTAGTCCGCCTTGCTCCGCCTGGGCTCAGAGAAGCTGCCCCCCCACCCAGCCCTGCAGATCCCTGGATAACACTTGGCTAATGTCAGAGGAAGGAGGTTTGGACCGATAGACAGATCCAGCTGGAGGAGGAGGGGGTTCATCAGTCCTGCCGGCGGTTTGTGTTCCTGAAGCGATGGACGAGGCAGGAAGGAAGCGCGTTTGGCCGAGGATGTAGGAGACTCCTCTGGAGACGGGGCGTTTTTGTGTTGTTTTATTTTTTTTTTTTTTTTCGTGGCGGCGGAGCGTGGGGAAGGCTGGGATCTGACAGCCTGAGCTCAGCCTTGGGGGTCCACTCAGAGAGGAGCATCCACTGCTTCTGCTGGGGAGCACCAAGGGCTCTGAACAGCTTAGCACCATGCCTGAGGCCAACTACCTGTTCTCTGTGTCCTGGGGATACATTAAGGTGTGTTTGAAGGGGGGGTGGCACTGGTCCACCAGAGCTGGATGAGTGACTCAAATTTAATGTTTTTGTTTCCTCATATTTCAGTTGTAGATTAGTTGGGATGATTAGCTGCATCTGGACGACTGCAGCGTTTTGTTCGTCTACAGACCAGTCATCGTTATAAAGACGTGTTTTTATCCTGTTTAACACAGAAATGCCTCCAAAGCCCTGAATGCAGATGTGATCTGATGCATGACGTTGGATACAGAATAACTGTTTTATTCTTAAAAAGGAAAAACATGTTTATTGTTGTAAATCCTTTGTGTTGATGTTTCATCTGTTTGCTTCGCAGTTCAAAAGGATGCTGAACCGGGAGCTGAGCCACCTGTCTGAGATGAGCCGCTCAGGCAACCAAGTGTCCGAGTACATCTCCAGCACCTTCTTAGGTAAGCACTGCAGCACGCACCCCCCCCCCCCCACAGGCTGACTGCAGCATCTCAGGGACCACCGACTGCCTAGGGAGGAGGGCACATCGGCTAAATGCTGCCGGTGTGACGGCAGAGACGTTTTCTCGTCTTCTCGCCGGCCCTTCGGCCCCCTGAGGTTTTTCCGCCCCGCTGTCCGACGCAGAAACCCGTCCAGCGGGCTGCTGTTTGTAAACACAGACATCCGTGCAAATAAACAGAAACATGGCAGAAAATAAAAGTGGGGAGAAATTAGAGACAGGAAGCCCCGCCCCCCTTAGAGGAAACTATCTTCTGTAAGAGCAGGAGCGGCGCAGTGGAAAAATAAACAAAAGCAGAACAGAAAAAGCTGTTCAGAGCAATCTGTTATCTGCAGAGCATCTCACACCTGTCAGGTGGAGGGAGCTCGTGCTCCAAGTTTTTATTTATTTATTTTTGTGGAGGATGCAGCCGACGCTTTCATTTTTTTCTCACCGCGGTGCATTCAGAGTTCACACACACTCTGCAGTCTACACTGCAAAAACTGTCCATCTTACCAAGTTTTAAAACCTTATATCAGCCAAAAAGTCTTTTTTGATCTTGTTTTGAGACTGATTTACTAAACAAGAACTGATTGTGTAAGAATAATAATCTTGTTTTCATAATGTGTAAGATTATTTGTCTTGTTAGTCTGAAAATTTGACTCAAATTAAGTCAAAAGTTTCTGCCAACGGAGTAAGAAAATTTTACTTGGTAAGATTCTTGAAATAAGAAAAAATCGAGTCAAATCAAGTATTTCAAGAATCTTACCAAGTAAAATTTTCTTACTCCATTGGCAGAAATTTTTGACATAATTTGAGTCAAATTTTCAGGCTAACAAGACAAATAATCTGACACATTCTGAAAACAAGATTATTCTTAATCAGTTCTTGTTTAGTAAATCAGTCTCAAAACAAGATCAAAAAGACTTTTTGGCTGATATAAGGTTTTAAAACTTGGTTAGGTGGACATTTAAGAGAAAGTGTCAGTCAACAAACAGAAAGGCTGAATCACACGCACCAACCTCACCCACATAATAACCTGCCCCCCCCCCCCAACTTTTAGGTTTAGTGTGTCTTTCCACGTTTCTCTGAATTGTTGTTGCAACAAGCCTCTGCTTCGCAGAACGCTCGCAACCCGGGGATATTTCCAGACAACACGTCTCGTTAGCAATAACCTCGCTGTGTTTGTAACGAGTGTTTACGATGGCGTTTATGCAGGCAGTGGTTTGTGAGGCCTGCGACGGAGACACAACATGAGGGATTGTTTCTAATTAAAAAAGGCTGACAGTTCAGATTTAACGTGTCGTCACGTCTGTGGGACATTTCACCTGTTTGCACTGCAGAGTGCCGAGCTCAGCTAAAAACTACTTAAATATATCTATTTGTCTTTTTAATTCAATTAAATTCAGTTTATTTACATAGCGCCAGCAGATTGTGTTGAACCACTTGGTGATGTCCCATCCTGAGCAGCACACTGGTGACAGTGGAGAGGAAAAACCTCCAGCAGAACTTTTAACGATCTCTCATTTCGTTTATGTTTTCTTTTCCACAGACAAGCCAAACGAACTAGAGCTGCCATGTCCGGTTCAGAAGTCCAGAGAAAGGAAGAGGAGGCAGGGTCAGCAGCATCAACAACAACAACAGCAGCAGCAGCAGCAGGTTGGGATGATGGCGCAGATCAGCGGGGTCAAAAAGGTCAACCACACTTCCAACGTCTCTGCAAGCAGCGGAAATCGCTTCGGAGTCAAAACCGACCAGGAGGAGCTGCTTTCCAAAGTAAGACACACTTTCTGTACCAAAAATAAAAACATAAAACTTTAAATTTTGCGGGGTGAGTTCTTCCTTTACGACTGGCTAACCCAGCGACTGTGCCCGACAGGATCTTGAAGACATCAACAGATGGGGGCTGAACATCTTCCGAGTGGCGGATCATTCTCACCACCGGCCGCTCACCTGCATCATGTACAGCATTTTTCAGGTCAGTCTCGTCTCTTCGTCAGGCGAACAGAAACGTTGTTGTCGTTGTCGTTGTGATGCGTAGAACACGTTCAGCACCTCGAGACTTTTCTAATCACCTCTGTCTGCGCGGCGCTCAGGAGCGAGACCTGATGAGGACGTTCAAGATTCCGACCGACACCTTTGTGACGTTCATGCTGACCCTGGAGGACCACTACCACTCGGACGTGGCGTACCACAACAGTCTGCACGCGGCCGACGTGGCCCAGTCCACGCACATCCTGCTGTCCACGCCCGCTCTGGATGTGAGTTCGACTCTGATCCTGTCAGGGTTCAATGAGCTGATGATGCATGTGAGCCGTCACATCGAAACAACGATTAAGTCCAAAAGTGCAGAAATAGGCAGATGAACAGTTTAGATTTAAATGTGTGCAAAAACTGAATTTGGTCAAAGTATAATGAACTGTTAAAAATTAGTTAAAAATAATAATAATAATAATAATAATAATAAATAATAATAATAATAAATAAGTAAATAAATAAATAATGTAACTTTTATTTAAAAGTAAATAAATAAATAACAAGTTAAAATTTCAGATTATTAGCTTTAAAAAGAGACCAAGCTTGTGAGTTTACTCTAAAGCAGTGTTTCCCAAAGTTGGGGTCGGGACCCAAAGTGGGGTCCCAAAACATCAAGGTGGGGTCCTGAAAAGATTTTCTGAATTAATTACATTTTTACTTTAGTTGGTACAAAGGAGTGAGGTTAGTATATTTAAAATGGATACATATAACATAAATATATTATTACTATGCCCATGTTTTGTTGACCTGATACAAATGTTTATCATCCAAAAATAGTTGGGGGCACAGGTCTCTGCTACTGTTATTTTGTGGTTCAAAAGCTGAAAAGTTTGGGAACCACTGCGCTTTGGTTCCCAAAGTTGGGCTTGGGACCCAATTATGGGTCATGAAGCACCTTGGATAATCTCCAGAAATCAATTTAAAGGGTCATAAAATAATTGCTGATGTAATATTTTCCCTGTAATTATTACAAAAACACAAAATAAGTAGAAATAAGTATTTATATTTGTGTATAAGCTGTTTAGATCGTCAAAAATCCTGTGTTTTTAGGGTTATTAACAAAGTTCGTGTACTCAGACCAGTAATATTTGGGGTCACAAGTTTTTGCCATGGATATTTTGTGGGTCAGAAGATAAACAGTTTGGGAACCACTGCTCAAAAGGGTTCAAAAGCAGTACTTCATTTAATTTGTGTCTTACTCTTTAAGGCGTTTTATGGTATTTTAGGCCCAAAGGTTAACAGGTTAAAGCTTTATCAATCAGTTGAATGGAATGTCTGAAATATAATCCTAAAAATAAAAAATTTTTAAAAAAAACGGAAGCATTTTTTTAAGCAGTGGCAACAAAAAAATTGATTTTGAGGAAAAACATCTTAAAATTTAGAATTTTTCCCTGTGAGCTAGAAATGTTTTGGTTTCTTTACAACTGGGAAATATTAATACGCAAATTCTATTTCAGGTTTCCTCTTTACGTTGACATAAAAAATGACTCAATAAATTTATATAAAATTAGGATTCAGACCAAACAGTAATGTATTATTGCAACCAACAAGACAAATTAAGTCGTATCTCTGGATAAGTTTATGATAGAATGATCCAGGTATCAAAATGTAGCTTTTAAAGCAGGAATCTGAAAATGTAATGAGGTCATTTGACTAAATTTGACTTAATCCTCATTTCAATACGATGGGTCGTGTATTATAAAAAGTGATTCTCTAACACCACGTTTTCGTTTCTCTTCCTCTCCACAGGCCGTCTTCACAGATCTGGAGATCTTGGCAGCCATATTTGCCGCAGCTATTCATGATGTGGACCACCCAGGAGTGTCTAACCAGTTCCTCATCAACACAAGTTAGTACTCCTGAACACTATTTGTCAAAAAAATAAAAAAAAATTTAAGGCACCAAACCAGTTTGTGTTTGGTTTTAAGGGATCAGCAATGTGTGTTTTTTTAGGACAATGTGTCCATAGTTAGCAGAGCTCTGTTTAATTTCTCCTGTCGTTTCTCTCCCTCCACCCTGCGGCGTTCAGACTCGGAGCTGGCGCTGATGTACAACGATGAGTCAGTGCTGGAGAATCACCACCTGGCCGTGGGCTTCAAGCTGCTGCAGGAAGACAACTGCGACATCTTCCAAAACCTGAGCAAGAAGCAGAAGCAGACGCTGCGCAGGATGGTCATAGACATGGTGAGGAGCGCCCTCTGGGCGTTGTCTGAGGCTGCACGACGCTTTTTATAAAAATAAATTTAAAAAAACCTCCCAGAAAGATCGCTCATTTCTGTCTGTCTGTCCTGCAGGTCCTGGCCACGGACATGTCCAAACACATGAACCTGCTGGCCAATCTGAAAACCATGGTGGAGACAAAGAAGGTGACCAGCTCCGGTGTCCTGCTGCTGGATAATTACACGGACAGGATGCAGGTGAGAGACGCTCTGTTTACACTCACATGATGGGAACACCTCAAGAAACATGGGAGGATCTGTGCCCTGAGTGCTGACGTTTATTTGACTTGTGTTTGTTGCAGGTGCTGTGTAATATGGTCCACTGTGCAGACCTGAGTAATCCCACCAAACCTTTGGATGTGTACCGGCAGTGGACAGACAGGATCATGGACGAGTTCTTCCACCAGGGGGACAGGGAGCGGGAGAGGGGGATGGAGATCAGCCCCATGTGTGACAAGCACACAGCCTCGGTGGAGAGAACACAGGTAGGAGACGTGAAAAGATCAAAAATAAAAAGACGTGTTTTGTCTTTTCGCTGATGTTCTCCTCATCATTCTGCAGGTGAGCTTCATAGATTACATCGTGCACCCTCTGTGGGAGACGTGGGCCGACCTGGTCCACCCCGACGCCCAGGACATCCTGGATACACTTGAGTACAACAGGAACTGGTACCAAAGCATGATCCCCCAGAGCCCCTCTCCTCCGTTCTACGCCAGCGACGGAGAAGGAGGCCCACTGCGGGACAGTGAAGGGGGGCCTGTAGCCAGTAAATTTCACTTTGAGCTGACTCTGGACAGCGAGGACACAGAGGGACACAGGGACAGTGGGGCGATGGACGCGGGCGTTGACCAGGTTGGGACATGTGACGTCTCGGCTGCAGACACCTAGCTGGAAAACGGAGCGACTCTCGTTGAGTTGGTTGAATTGCAGTGGAGCCATCCTGCAGTGTGGCTTTGTTGTTGTTTCTTGGAGCTGCCTGGTGAAGCAGGCCTGCCTGAACGCCGGGCGCCCCCCGCAAACGAGGCCTGGAAACCCTGTTGCAGTTTGTTTGCGAGCCCCGCGAGACGGAGCTGGGAGGAGCGTCTTCTCTGGTCTTCGATGAGATGAATCCGGAGCGTAAACGTCTCAAACAGACGGGATGAACTGGGAAACAGAAACCTTCCCAACGTTGCACTTCAGCACATTTTTCTTTTCATGTGTTCATAACTGTATTTCAAAACTGGATACCACAACAAAAAACGACTCATCAGCGGACTATTAGTAACCATGGAATTGTTTGGTTTTCACAGTTTGTCTAAAAAAAAAAAAAAGAAAACGGTTGAGCCTTTTGTTTTGTACAACCATGTGTTTTTGTAAGTGTTTTATATCCTGTAGTATTTAACACATTCATGTAGCTGTAAAATGTGTCCAGTTTTCTACAAAAGGACATAATCGTCTCAGTCTTCCTAAAAGTCTGGCAATAGTTTAAAGTTATTCTCACAAAAAAAAGGTGGATGTATGTTGAAAATCAGTGGACTTCCCAGCACAATTTGCACTTTGTGGCACACTGTAAAACCAGGAGTGTGGAAGGACAGGATGCTTGGATCGCCAAAAAAAATGCTTTTTTATGAACCCAAATAACTTTTTTTAACCTAAAGCGCAACATGTAGGCATTTCTGTCGCTCCAAAAAAAAAAAAAAACCCTTCCAAAGATTTAAAAAAAAAACCCGAAGCAGCACTTTTCACTGTCACTGAAAGAGCAACACCTGAAGAGTCACCGGTGATACAAAGCGAAGTCACGCAGATTTATTCAAACTTTCTCTTCTTAGAGAATCAAGGCAAATAGAGCCTGTTTTGTTTTTTTTGAAATAGTTTACAAACACAAAGTTCCTGACTTATTCCTCTCTGCTTTCCCATGACACAAAACTAGTTTCACTTCATAATCTCCTCCGTTCATCGGTTCACACACCTGTTTGTGCTTCGCAGCGTGCCATTCTCCTGAACGCGCTTTACGTGGTGACTCGTTATGACCTCTGGATGACCGTAAGACGGCGCACAGTTTAACGAAAACAAATAGTGACAGAATATTTGTACAAAATGTAGATTTTTGTTTCTCGCAGCACCTTGAATACACTGACAGCTCTGCAGCTGGTTGCAGATCTGTTCAACACTTCCTGAAAGGTACAGCAGACGTATGATGAGGGGGGATGACGCGTTTGTGTGGTCGTCTCCTGCGCGCGTGTGTGTGCGTGAGTGTGTATCTGAAGTGGTCACAGAGTGTCTTGTTACACCAAGCTGTGTTGTGACGACAGTAATACTGTATTTATTATTACCTTTTCCCTGTACATAATGATTGCTAATATTCACTGTATAATTATTATTTATATGCACTACAACACGTCACAGATTGACTGAACTTGTCTTATTTTAGTCTGATATTTTGCTACAAGACCTTTTCGAGAAGTCCTGAAAAGTATGTCTGCTTTGTCAGAGGAGTTCACCTCCTGAGCCGACGGCAGTTTTTTAATCATTTGCTCCTGGCAGGTTGTTGTGACTGGATATTTACTGCAGCCTGTGTGTACGGTGACGGGTCATTGTACAGCTGTAGGAAAAGTTGCTGAATTATATAGCATTGTTTCAAATATATTTTTTCAGTGTTTTCCTCACAGTGTATTGTTCAAGTTGTGTATGTTGTGCTCAACAAATGTTTTCTATGACTATTAAAATGAGCATGTATAACAGAGGCTCCTGTTTGAAATGTTTTTGAGTCACGATTTTTAAATAAGGCGTTCTTTTTCTTTTAATTTATGAAAAAAGTATATTATTAGCTTCAAAAATTAACTTAAATTCAATCAATACTGGCCCGGTACCCCATACTCGGGCCACTTGATACGGGCTGTCAGGTCCTTGTACGACCGGTGTCAGAGTCTGGTCCGCATTGCCGGCAGTAAGTCGGGCTCATTTCCGGTGAGAGTTGGACTCCGCCAAGGCTGCCCTTTGTCACCGATTCTGTTCATTACTTTCATGGACAGAATTTCTATGCGCAGCCGAGGTGTTGAGGGGATCCGTTTTGGTGGTCTTAGGATCGCATCTCTGCTTTTTGCGGATGATGTGGTCCTGTTGGCTTCATCGGAACGAGATCTGCAACTCTCGCTGGAGCGGTTCGCTGCAGAGTGCGAAGCAGCCGGGATGAGGCTCAGTGCCTCCAAATCCGAGGCCATGGTCTTGAGCCGGAAAAGGGTAGAGTGCCTTCTCCGGGTCGGGGGGGGMGGGGGGGAGGGGTCGTCCTGCCTCAAGTGGAGGAGTTTAAGTATCTGGGGATCTTGTTCACGAATGAGGGAAGAACGGAGCGGGAGATCGACAGGCGGATTGGCGCAGCGTCTGCTGTAAAGCGGGCGCTGTACCGGTCCGTCGTGGTGAAGAGAGAGCTGAGTCAAAAAGCGAAGCTCTCGATTAACCGGTCGATCTACGTTCCTACCCTCATCTATGGTCACGAGCTTTGGGTCATGACCGAAAGAACGAGGTCCCAGATACAAGCGGCCGAAATGGGTTTCCTCCGCAGGGTGGCTGGGCTCTCCCTTAGAGATAGGGTGAGAAGCTCGGTCATCTGGGAGGGACTCAGAGTAGAGCCGCTGCTCCTCCACGTCGAGAGAAGCCAGTTGAGGTGGCTCGGGCATCTGGTAAGGATGCCTCCTGGACGCCTCCCTGGTGAGGTGTTCCGGGCACGTCCCACCAGGAGGAGGCCCCGAGGAAGACCCAGGACACGCTGGAGGGACTATGTCTCTCGGCTGGCCTGGGAACGCCTTGGAGTTCCCCCGGAGGAGCTGGAAGAAGTGGCTGGGGAGAGGGAGGTCTGGGCCTCCCTTCTGAAGCTGCTGCCCCCATGACCCGACCCCGGATAGGCAGAAGAAAATGGATGGATGGATGGATGGATGGATGGATGGATGGATGGATGGATGGATGGATGGATGGATGGATGGATGGATGGATGGATGGATGGATGGATGGATGGATGGATGGATCAATCAATGCTTAGTGGGAGTACACCCTGCAGTGAACACTTTGTACTTGGCTTGTAATGTACTGAACAACCTGTTTGAGTTAAAGATTTGAACTGTTTAATATTTCCCTGTGTATACAGGGTTCTATAAAGGCCATGGGGAAGACAACATAAGGTCTAAGGGCCAGAATTACTAGTCCTTGAGTCATCTTGAAATGAATGAAAACTAGGACTTAGTAAAGCAAATTTAAGCTGCCTTTTCTATCAGATCAAAAAAAAAAATCCTAAACATTCCTTTGCCAAGTTTATAGGTTGAGTTGACAAATCACTAGTTGTGTCAAAAAAGACTAAAACATATTTTTTATCATTTAGCTATGAGTTGATGTCTAAATTAACTATCAGATGTCTTAGTTTACAAGCACTGTTTAACAAGTTGAGAGTTGATTTTTCGACTGTTGTGAGTAAAAAACGTGAGTAGCCCCGACAAAACTGAGAGAAATGCTGTATTTTGACCAAACATGGCAACTATGTTAGACTTATCAAAGAAAGGAAAACATCAAACTCTAATGAGACTCGGTCAAAACGACCCTCAGAAGGGTCGGTGACCTGTGCTTCAAAGCCTGCAAACGTAATGGAGCTCCACAAGGTTTAATGTTCGGTCCTACATTTTTAAACCTCTGCATCAAGGGTGTGAAACTCCAGTCCTCGAGGGCCACTATCCTGCGTTTTTTAGAGGTTTTCATGTTCCAAGACAGCAGATTTTGATTGCTGAGTGATTAACAGATTTCTGCCCAATTTGAAGGGTTAATTCAATCACTGAATCAGGTGTGTTTGAGCTGGAAAACCTCTAAAACATGCAAGATAGCAGCCCTTGAGGACTGGAGTTTTACACCCCTCCACATCCTGCGAAACATCATTGAGGGAAATTGTGTTTACAGATATGCTGATGATGCACAAGTCTACACACTGAATCACTATGACAATAAATTGGAAGGTTTTGGTCTGGTGCATCCTCCACATTTGTTTAAATCCTAGAATTTTCCAGTCTTATACAGCGGGTAAAATAAATATTGAACACGTCAACATTTTTCTCAGTAAATATATTACTAGAGGTGCTAATGACATGAAATTTTCACCAGATGTTGGTAACAACCCAAGTGATCCATACATACAAAGAAATCAAACCACAAATGTCCAGAAATGAAGTTTAGAAATTCTTCTGTAACCGATGCCA